TGGGGTCTTTGCCTTGAAAATGACCTTACGGTACATGATACCGTAAGGTCATTTTCAAGGCAAAGACCCCATATAATTACAAAATAGATGTCAGACTTTCAGACAATTAAATCAACTAGTGGATTCCCGAACACTTGATCTAGACGCTCTAGGGTCTCCATTAATCATAGTTTCATCACTACTACTCATAGTCGACGTTCTCGACGCTCTAGTTCTATCAGTGGCCCAAGAGTAATCATCTTTTGCGTAATTATCACCAGGAGTTTTATACTTATTATATTCATCAGCTTTTTCATTATCTTTCCCACTTCTGCTTTTTCTTTTAACATCCATATTCTTTTTAGAACCTCCAGTGTCGTCATCTTCGTCATCTGATTTTTGTTGACTTGGGGTGCCGTGACGGATTCTGTAAATTGCTTCATATACACGGCCAATTATGTTAACCAAAAGAGTTAAGCATGAGGACACTAAACTAAGCAAGGGAATAAGATCGTATTGTACAGTATATATAAAGTAAATGGTCTGGTAATATGTTTTTAGAAGTAAAATTGATTCTTTTGTTAATGAGATAAATCTATGTATACTGTATATGACAATGAATAAAGGAACAATCATTATACCTGAATAACTACTCGAGGTATATCTTCTATGAAAATATTTAAAGTTGCAGTCCAAAAGATTCTGGTCAAAGCAGTTTGAGAGAATGGAGCCTGAAAGAATCGAAACCCTGCTAAATTTGATTGTAGAATCTTTAATGCTTCAATATCAGAAGCTGCCAATAATGTAAATATCGAAACAACTTTTCCATTACGACTAAACCATGCAAAGAATTTTTTGCGAGTGTTTTCATCCATAATAATCCAAAATGCTATGAGTGTATTCAGTGAGACAGGAACAACTAAAAAGACAAGACTTTAAAAATAAATTTGGAAAGTTCATTAAACTCCTTTTTTTTTACATTTGCTAACAAAAAAAAAAGAAAATAAACATTTTACCTTGGAATGTAAAGCCACGGAATATCTTTTGAATTGTTGATAACAAAAAGTAGATAGACAGACAAATCAAATATGAGTAACCCAAGTTGAAGAATAGCAACGTTTTGTCCCTATTTAACAAATTACATTAACAATTGGCAAATAATCTTATTTGATGTACAGAAATTTAAATTAAAAATTAAAAATTACTTCTGGTGCTTTTCGTTGAGCTCCTAAGAATAATACTGCAAATATACACAAAGCTACGAATAATCCAACTAACTTGAGCTTATATTTTTCCCATATGTTTGCTATTTAAAAAAAAAAGTCGTTTATAAAATAATTTGACAAATAGTTGACAGTCAAGATAAATAATTTCTTACGAGAAACTGTAAATCCATAGCCACCATCTAAATATCTTGTGACATTCCCTTGAGAGATCATAGTAATAGCACTGTTTTGTACCATGGTATTTAAATCTTGTATAACTAAGGGAACATTTCTTTCTGAATTATTTTTCGGCTCACTGATTTCAATCGAAATTATAGCTTGTTCTGAAGGTGTTCCACCGTTAATAACTTGAGAATTTTCACTTGAACTTAATCTATCTAATTTCACAGGAATGAACTGAGAAAGTTGACTTTTTAAAGAAGCAAAAAAGGCAGCTCTAGAACTCTTATTCATTTGATGAAACATTTGGGTTCCATCTGGTGTTAAATGTAGCAATCCTTGTATATTCCCTAAAAGAAAAACCAATATCAGTTATAAATCATAAGTAATTGACATAAAATAAACAAAATAAAATACTCTACCAGCGCGCGTGTAATTTACATAAGCAGCTGACATATAATTAAGGACAATTATTAGGCGTTAATATTTTTACGAATATGGAAACATAAAAAACGTTTAACGCGTATATACCTATGCTAAATTGCCAGATACGAGGTCGAATACCCAGAAGAGGCTCCTTAAGCGATCTACTTCTTACGAAATTATTATCAACTTGTACATAATATTGTTGGCCGGGGGCATTAAAAGTACTGGATATTACATTGACAGTCACAGTCTTGCCATCAGGAGAAAGATTGCAAAATTGAGTATTATCACCGGAGACGATTTGTCGAGCAATCACATTACCAGAATCAATAATTTGATATATAGTAATATTTCCTTGCGATAGATCAACCTGATCATTATATGTGATAGAAATGTTAGAGGTAGCCGATGAAATGGTGGCATTGATTGCGGGATTGGACGTGTTAACCATGAAATTACGATATCCATGATCTATGATTGAAGAAGGAAAAAATTTATATATAAAGAATATCTTGAATCTAATAAAATATAAAATTGCTTTTTTTTTTTTTTTTTTTTTACCTTGATTTTCGTTAAATTTTGGTAGATCATTCACAAGGAGACTCCAAGAATTTGTAGTTTCAGTCCGAGCCAGCAGGAGAGTGTTGTTACTTAGGATATCATTAGCACCGGCAAAATTAGTGGATTGCGGTTCAGGTAATTCCCATCTAACTGGGTTCTCTGATTCATCATACAAAAAAAGATAAAAATTTAATGACAAGCCATCGCGTGATTGGTTGTAAGACGTTAACGCATAACCTCCATAAGTTAGTGTATGGACTATATATTCGGAAGCGGGGTAAGGAGTCAATTGTTCAATTGTTGATAAAGATAGTACCGATCCTGAAGAGAGAAAACGAATTTTTATGTAAAATGGATTAAAAAAAGGTGTGACAATAGATCGTGTGGAATTTACAAGGTTTGTAAAACTAGTGTTCGTCGCTGTCGCTCGTGTTATGGTTAATGTGCATATATGTCCCAAGCTAGTATAATCTACACCGCATCTTAAATAAGTAATGTTTAAGTTCGGCAATGAAGATTGCCATAGAGTATAAGGATCGCTCGTATTTGGCTGATTACGTGACAAAAATATAGCATATAATCCCGCACGCGTCACAAATGGGTTAGCAAGATTTATAGAGTCACTAGAAGAATTAGTAAACAAAATGGCATAGCCTCCGTCTATAGTGCCAATAGTTGTACCGAGGTTTGCATTCAATCTAATTGTATCTCCGGACAAAAATCTGATTTGACCATTATCATCACTAAAAAAAAATGAAGGCCGACAGGATGTCAGGCTTGCAAACAATCGAAACAAAAAGAATGGCAGCGAAATCAAACATACACATCATATTGCTTCCATTCAGAATAATTTTGCCTAGTTACTTGAGAAAAACGGAGAAATCCATGTCTAGGATCAATATTCATTCTTATGGCGGCATTATTAGGTACCCAAGCATTAGTAACTGGGTTCATGTATGACTGCGAGAAGGGTATTGAGCTAAAAATAAAATAACACAATTACCGATATAACTATCGATATAACTATAGTAATTGATAATCCTTACAAATTCTTCAACATAATCACCTCAAGATCTTTCCGCTCCAATTAATAACCATTCCCCATTCGTAATATGTTGAGAGATCTCTTTCATCCGTAGCATTCGTATATGTCAATAAAATGAGATCATTAAATAACGGGTAAACACGTATAGGCGTTGAGAATGCACTTCGAAAACAATAATTTAGGTATTGAATCCCTAAATCAGCATCAATTTCTGTTACGCTTCCATTTAAATGAATAATGCGTAATGATAATAACGATTCAACACAGACAGTTCCTGTTGGAGGAGTCGCAGAAGTGTTTCTACGAATTATTTGAACCATTGCTGTTCCGTCATCATAAGCTTTAAGATCTATTATACGAGGTGGTTGATTGGGTACTCTAGATTTTTCACCACTCTCAAAGTACGTAAAATTTGACGTGGCACAATCTGTAGGTAATATAAGAAATAACAAAAAAATGCACACGAAGACTAAATTATAAGATTTGATTTTCATCATATAACAAATTTCGAGCAAGAAGAAAAAAATGACAACGATTTTTTTCTTAGTTTGCCGTCTCTGTTATTTCGAATAAAACTGGTGGTTTTTGTTCATAAAGCATGTTAGATAATGATCGACATGATTTTCGATCACTTACTATATCAATAATTGTTTATATTGTAGTTTGCGACCGCAATGAGGCTCAGTGGAAAAAGATGAACAATTACATTTAAACGTTAGTGTTTTTTTCCGGTACGGGCTTTGTCGATCAGATCAAAAATCTAAACAAATATACCGATCTATTCTAAAATGAGCCACGAATAATCTGGCTAACCTGAAATAATACTCTTTCTGAGTTAGGTTTAGAAATCAATTCTAACGCTAATATTAATAAAGTTAATTGTTCTCATGGATATGAAGTTCTAAATTTTTTTTCTGAAAACTGGATTCTTACAACAGTTCCTTCATTAAATAGTATATACCGTAAAACCGTGAAATAACGCGTTATTTTGAACACCTTCCATATGCATTATTTCGAGATAAAGGGAGATTGGATATTACGTACTATAAGTCTTCTGATATGTTAAAGTATATGATGTGCGCGTTACTTCGAAATACTTCGAAATTAAGAATGTCATTTTTAAAGATCTGATTTTCGAAATAACGCTCATCATCGTTAAATGCATTATGTAAATCAAAACAAGTTTTCAAGACTACACCTGAATGGCCAGTTTTTAGAACTTTGATCTGACCTTTTCGAATCATTAAATTTACCATAGTCTGGCGATCAAACCTCTAGTACTTTCGTTGCGCTGCTTTAGATGCGTGTCTTGAAACTAAAATTTAACTAAAATTTATTGTTAAAGATTCATCCCGTTTCGCCGACAGTTATTTCACTGGCTTTTAATTCTGACCATTGCTAACTCTAAATCAGACCCTATCCGTAAACCGAGTCAACCTTAGCTGTCGGTTAATGGTTGTCAGGAAAAAAATTAATTTAAAATTACCGTATTAATTATATCAATTATTAATAATTAATATAGTGATATCTACAATCAGCAGATCCAATCAGATTACTTGGTTTTTGAAAATAAAGCAATTTGATTGGATCCGCACAGAGCGGGTACGGATATGGACACGTGATTACTGAGACTTTTTTGTACATCTGTTTTTTATATTTTTAATGAACTTCCCATTACACTAAATGTTGTTTAGATAATAGCTTCAAAACTTAATATTACTTAAAAAAATTACAAAGGTTTTACTATTAAAGCTATTCTTAATTTCTCGCTAGTAGCAAGTATTTATTTTCGTCGTGAGAAAATTGTGAACCTAAATACTGAAATACAGTAAATTTACCGCAAGAAGGGGTTTTTCGCATTCAGTTCAGAGTGTCTAGCTATTAATAGTCGAAATAGCTAGCGAGAATAGCAAGCAAAAATAACTAAAAATAGCAAATTAGCAATCATCTACGTGTACACTTCCTATTGTTTAAAGTATCTTTCCTGATACATCGATTAATATTTAATCATCTCAACAATTGAAGAAATTGCTAAAAAAAGTCTTATAATTATTGCACGAAATAGCAAATTTCGCATCTTAGCTCGAAAACAATATAGCTAGCTATTTGTAGCAATTTTCTAGAAATAGCGCTATTTATATACATTTTTTAGATTCTTTTGTAATCTTTTCTATTTTCTTTTATATCACTACGATAATTACATAAATAATAAACAATCAGAATAAAACGACCTTTGCTCTTTTATAATAGGTATATGAATATCCATAAGCTTCGCAATTGGCATTTTGTTTAACTAGCTATATTGGATCATTTCTAACGATACAGTAAAAACCATATTTACGGTAACTACAGTCTAACCTCCCTATAATCACACCCCTCGGGATAAAGATTTGTTATTGTAAAGAGAATTTTACTAAGATGTGCTTATAAAGAGGTTTTTTTTCTATATGTTTATAATAGTTGGTTTTAAAATAAATGTGCTTATAAAGAG